TTACACACAAACACCATATAAGTGTTGTTTGATAAAAGAATCACCCTGTATAATACAGATTTTATTGGTAATAATAAATTGTGCGTCGAGTAATTTAATAAGTATCTTATAGAGGTGTTGACGATGTTGATTGTTCAGATAGAAATTATGTATATTTGAATATTTGAATTATTATGGCTAATTTCTCGATAAATACAGTTAAATGAGGGTTTTCTTTCTATGTGTAGGAACTTAATATTTTCCTATGCCTATTGTATTTTTCATAATACGAGGCTGCTTTTGTGCCGCAAAATATAAATTTTCCTGGTCAGTCCGAAACCTTAATCTATATTCTGTGTATATATTGTACGTCTTTTGCCCGACTACTGATTGCGGACTCTCGTTACCACGAAACATACGTTTAAGTATGATTATAATTATTTATGTTGTGTATAGCCGTATAGGTAATGCAAGATTGTAGCAAGAACCAGTAGTGTTCCTATCAGAAAACCAAATTTGCGCCCTCTCATTCAATTACGCTAAAAATAAACGACAATTTTTTAGATTTTTTTGATTTTCGTAATTGTCATATTTAAATTCAGAATGCCCACTCGATGAAATCACGCCCCTGGCAAATGTTCTCTTGCCAGTCCCTAGCTATGGTCTTGAGGTAATGTACCATCGCACTCGAAGGGCGAACACCATCAAAAACAACATCGCAGTCTGTCGGATTCACGCGTTTACCTTTATTTTTCTTAAATTCGTCGTCGCTCGCTCATCCGGCCGGCTTCTGTCGGTATAAGAAATCGGATACACGCCGCGCAACACTTATTAGCACTATTCAATAATTAGGTTTATAATATGAGTAAAATATTAGTAGTGGTCAGTTTAAGTATGACTTTAAGTATGACTTTATTATTAGTATATCATGACGTTGATATATATTATATTATTACAACCGAAAAAATCTAATGACGATAAAACGTTTTATTGTTTTATTTTATAGCATCTACGGAGACTAATGTAATAATAATATAATTATAACCGACCGCAGCGGCCCTGCAATACTGATACTGTCTGGAACAACACTTCACTTGGTATTGTGGAAGCGGCGCGGCGGCATTGGCAACGGCGGTCGAAGCAGCGACGACGACGGCGACGACGGCCGATCGATCGACATTTTGTGTTTTGCACACACGCGGCCGAATCGCGGCGACAACAAATAAAAAACAATAAAAAAAAAAAAAAACATAAAACCGAACATCACAATAATATAATAATATTACACACATACATATCCTACACGGGCGTATATAAATATATCATACCACTTCATGCCTAACAGCTATCGCTGCTGCCTACGCGATACATCCGCGTTTTGCGACGACCATAACCCACATAATAATATTATTATTATTATCATATTGTGATACACGTCATATTTTGTAATGATATGACGRTGGAGAGGATTGTTATAACTCGGTTCGGTGATGGCCGTTATAACGAATATCTTCGAAAATAATATTCGTCGTCGCCTCGTCGGGAATGTTCGTGTTGTTAGTTGTTACACACGTGTATGAAGAAAAACATTGAGTGTAAGTTRTTACACTTTGGTAAGTTAGGTTACCTACTGATTTCTTTCGAATAAGAYTAACCACRCCAATATTCATGTATGTATAAGACCAGTAYAACAAATGCTTATAAAGTGTTTTTGTAATTGTATGCATATATGAGTGAGGTGTGACTAGACTTCATCCATAGAGGTAGAATATTTTATTTTAATGTACAACGCCTTAATTTTAAAAACTAGTAACGACTAGTGGTACAAAGGGTTGAAAAATAACGATTGTCTAACTCATTTATTGGTGAGTACATAAGAGTAACGAAGTTTTTTTTATTATTATTAAAGCTTATAATAYTATAGCATAATATTATGGTTTGGTCGTTTGATGTAATCGTTTTTAATGGAACCTTTTTTCGTGTTTATTACTTTATTAGTAATACTAACCAATTTGTTTAAAAATAGAAATACAAAAGCAGATACCCAAAAGCCAAAATCGTAGGTATCTATTATATAAGTAATCAATATTCTCTATTCAAAGAATATGAATATTTTTTCTTGAATCTAGACCAAAGAGGCGGTTMTTTTWGAAAATCGGAACACATACAACCTCTGCAGAGCTGCCACTGTAGTCACGTGCTCACACACATGTATGTATGCATGTATATATCATTTATTTAAAAAAAGTAAATGGTTTGACAAAAAATGTATAACATAATATGTAATATGTTTGAATTACGATTTAAGTATTAAAATAAAAGCATGACTGAATAATAACAGATATCACAAGGAGCCAAACATAGTTAAAAAGTCAGGACAATGATTATTAGTAAATGAACTTAACCTTACTTGCATATATTTCGTAGGTATAATAATGTAACAATTTAACAATTAAAGTGAGTATTAATTAAATAAAAAAGTTAAAACATACGTACAAACATCATGACGTGATACTATGCTAGAATCATTATAATTCAAAATTTGTACATGAATATTATCGTCGTCGCTCATACAGATAATGTGGATTTCATCGTTTCAGCAAAAATAATAATGAAAAAACTCGATACTGCGATAGATATTAATTACCTACCTACGTAAAAATATTAATATTACGGTCGTCGTGTTTTGACGCGTTTACGTCCTGATCACCCCCGCCAACCCAGTTTCCAATGTTTGTCGAGTACACGTATAACCACTTTTCCTCCCTTACCTCCTACGCATCATAGCCAACGCCACCACGCCACCACCGATACCAAACTTTGAAGCGCGTTTGACCCCGCGCGTGACCTACATTCTAGGGGTGTGCCTTCCTCTAGCGTGGCGTGGCGGTACGACTAAAGGGAACCACATCAGCGGTCATGGTTGTGTCAACGAGACGATATTGTTAGACAACAATGTCAATAAGAACAATTGGACTTTGGACAGTACCTATATTAATTCACTATGCACATCATAGTAATTCAAGAGGCACACTACGCTGCTTTTCTCGTTTCTTAAATCATATTATATTATACAACTCTTAATGCACTCGTGCAAAATCAATAGATTTTGTCGTTTACCACCCCTCCATGCGTCTCGCGTGGTTTTTTCGTCGAGGAAATCGGTAAATGGGTCATACTCCGCCTGCGACTATATATAAAATAACTATATCCGTAAGTAAACACGCGCCTCCAGAACTATACTCTCTCCCTCTCGCACACACACACACACACACACACACACAGTATTACCTATATTATCATTACCCACATCAGCCCATCATAATCACCATCATCGGGACGACTTACCCGCGTTGTCGTGTCCAAATTCAAAAGCTATATTGCGTCGTCGACCGGCTCCGCTCACTTCTCTTCGGCGGGCGCGATAGACTCTCGCGCGGTCGGTGGTCCCGTGTGACTGTACGGAGGTAGGTAGGAGTGTTTATCTAAAGCGTGCACGTTGTCTCGCCCGACCCGGTACGCACACACGCACGACGGAACAGTGACTCAATGACGAACCGCGCGCGCACGGTACTCGCGTACACCGCGACTAACTACTATAAATGGGCCCGTCCCTGCTGCAGGACGTGCGCGGTGGACCTCTCTCGGCGTGTAACGGCGGCGGCCGCGGAGTCCGTCSCGACGGATGTCCGTCCGTAAACCGTGACGACGTGTAGGCGGTGGAATAGCTGCAGCGATTGTGTCCGCGCTTGTCCCGTTTTCAGTCCATTGCCGAGTCGGAGTCGTCGGAGTCGTCTTCGGCGGGGTTGGGGGGCAGGTCGTGGTTTGACGGCGTGTAAAGCTCGTCGCAATATGGCGACGACCGTGAGAGACTGGACCAGCGGAGCGGTCGGCCGCCTGGCGCGCGCGCGATCGATAAAGGAAACGCCGCTGTTGTACGCGCAACGGTCGGCGCACGCGAGCTAGGCCTGCGCGCCCACAGCCGTAGAAAGTTTTACGTCTCCCCGACCCCCACGCACTTTTCACACCCCCGTCCACCCTTCGCGTTCCACGCGGACTGAACATTCGCCTACGCACACCACCGCGGCCCTCGAGTATTGTGTATGTTTGAGTTTTTCTACGCCTCCTCCATAGCTCTCCCACTCCTACGTTTTTTTCGTAACTCGTCGTTCTTGCCCACGCCACCGGGACAACTGCTAGACGTTTAGTCTCTCGTCGACTGGGTCGTCTCCCGCCTAGGAGACACMGACCCAGCCGTGGTACAGCGAGATGTGCTCTCGCGAGGGGCTACTGGATAGTGTAAGTGCCCGATAAATGTCTTCTGGATGATTTCACACAGAGTCCAGAATTTTTCGATACAATTAATGATGGAAAATTCTGGTCTGATAAAATATAGACCAATTAGAAAAAACAAAAAAGAAATAATAGATGTTACTTATTGGTTCAATTATTTAGKTGACCAGTTACGGACCAAATTATATTTCACTGCATTTCCATTTATCGACCGTCGATCGATATCATAATATTTTTGATCAGACACATTTATTTATAAATACTACTTCACGCTATCTTGGAAAAGTTTTATATGCAATAATTATGAAATACGATTTTGAATAATTATATTTCGAATTTTTAATAACCTAGCATATATAATATATAAATAACATAGATGGTCGATAAGTAATATGGACTATTCACAAACAAACAATTTAGTAGATACAAATATTTGTGCATATTTTTGGGTAATTCTGAATRTGTCCCTGTGTGACTATTGCACAACAATCATACCCAAACAGCCAAACATCTTTTGATATTTGTCAGATTACCAACAAATTTCGTTTATCTATGCCTGCTAGTCAAATATTAACAGTCCTGAATGACTGGGGGTCCAAGTGTAGTAGTTTAAAAAGTGAGAAAAATAAATTTCACTATTTTATCGACTAAATTTCAAATTGTGACTATTGGCCGTTCTGTTGAAATAAGTCGGTAAATACTAATTTATACATTTTATTATTATTATACAACCTTAAGTCGTTGTATGAGTACTCTATGTATCATAATGTATTGATCTTCTACTAATCTATTTGTTTTATAAAGAGAAAATAGATACTACAATGATAAAATGTAGTATGAATTATGATAACTACATGTAATGTTTTTGGAAAAATTGATTAACCATGCCTTTTGCAAAATGCGTCCTAATTGAAAAATAAAATATTTGTTTCAAAATAGAATATAATATTATGACAATATTTAAATATAATATATCCTAGACTTACAAATCATCTCCGTTCAGAATCGTTTTTCGTATACAATAATACCTATCATTGAATTCAAATCTTACCACCCTAGTCAGAGGTCCAYCCCATCGGCCACCACCTAATGTACAGCAGAACGACATCCACTTACCGCTTTTTTTTTATTATTATTAAAAAGTGTTTTTGACAAGGTCATCTAACTAATTGATAACATATTTTAACATTTTTAACAGTTTARCAGTTAATAATGCATAATTATTCACGAGTTGTTACAACAAATTAGAAGAATATAATTTGATATAAATGTATAAATGATGCAATAGAATAGAATTTATACTATAAGAATTATATAGGTATAATATTTTTTATTAAATTTATTATTATTGGTATTTATTAATATATTGGGCATATCATATAGTAGAATACAGAATATAATAGGAAGACCTGATAGATGAATTAACTTTTGTTCTAATCAATATTTTAAATTTTTGTTTATATATAATTTACAATAAATTGCGCTACATGTATAATATAGAAAAATAATTTGAATTTTTTAATTCTAATACTGAAAACAAAAAAATTTAAATTGAATTCAAATTTTTTTGGAAAAATTCAAAATATCAAAATATCCAATTTTGTAAATCTAATTATTTGAACTATTTTGAATATAAATATTTATCCGTCTAGCAGTTTATTTTTTAGAATTTTTGAAATATCAATATTTTTTTGAATAAACATATTTAAAATGTAGGTATGTAATTACTTAACATTTTTAAGTTAAAAAAACTATTATTTTTGAGAATTTCTCGAGTCTGACCATATAAATTTTTTTTTTGGTTTTCCTCTGTTACACCTTGTACCTATATTGTGTAATCTCACGCCATCTGTATTATAGCCACACTTTAATTAATTTTCAAGTATTATTGTTGGAAWATAGGTAGTTTGGTAATAATGTAATATTATTTGATATCACTGTAATCTTTAAGTAATCTTGGAAATTCCAAAAATTAGATTTTTGAGTAAAGCATCATTAAAGAAAAATACGTGGGCGATCATACTCGGTGAATCATTCCGTGCATATAGGATTGGTTCACCGCAAATGGCTCAAAAGTCTACCCTCTTGTATMCATGTGCCATAACTATGACGAATAATTTGATCTTTCATTAATATTCTATTATTCTTGGAAAATTCTAAAAGATTAAATAACATTTTTAATAAAAAAAAATAAATACAATGGTAATCAAAATGGTTAGGTGATACCTAATAATATTTTTTAGGGTGAAAATCAAATAATTTTTTTTTTTAGTTTAAGTAAATATACCTAAGGTCATTTGGTCAAAAACCAAAACTCGGTTTTGAGTGAAAATAGGTCCACCCCTTGCAATTTATCGTAAGTTATAATCATCATTTGCAGTGTTYGTATTTAATGGACAATCGTGTTAACGTTTTTTAAAACATTTATTTAAGTCAGAACTTCCGAGAAAAAATGGCTGTCGGTCGATCTTCAGCGAAAACCACACACTTTATTTGTTGGAATACGTATGTAAAATATAGTACCAAACCATCGTTTGCGTTCTATACGTATACGTATAGGTACGGTAGATGATATTTTTTTAGGCATAGGTACTCTGCTGGCTAAATCGTTGTGTACATGTAAATGATACCATATAATTTTAGGCATGCTCAGTTCGAGCAGATTGGACGGCCATTACTTTAACAGTATATATAAGTATGTAGCTATACTCTATAAAGGTAACTATATATATATATATATTACAATTTATACACCTTAATATGTACCTTGAGCACGCGATTATGAAAACACGCGTAYGGCATAATCTATACGCGAGCCTACAAGTCTGGCAATCGAAAATATCGTTTGTTCACGCGTCTATTTAATAATATGTATAATCGGGTATTATACGAATCTWGAATACGAATTGTCCGATTATAAGTTGCCAGGCAGCTGCAAAACAAACGATTTCACGTCCAAAAGAGTAAAATATTTTCTGTACAGATATTCGCATTATGCGCGGTATATACWATATATTATACGCGCGACCCATTTCATTCCGTATAATATTATTATTATTATGATTTTTCTTAGTCAACACTATTATGCGCAGTAAAACAACTCAAGACACTTAAAGGCCTACGTTCAGAAGTTTTAAGCCTGAGACTTACCAGATAATGTAACATATGGATGACAATAATATATTGTTTTAATTTAACGTCATTTTCCTAGAAAATTGTGGAAAAATACAAAAATGGAAGGGTGGTACTCAATCAAGATTTCGCTCAAATGGTGTTTACAATAAAAATCAACTGTTTTTAGGTTAATCGTCCGAAATAACGTATCCTTCTTATGTAACTATTCTTATTTTTTTTTTTATTGAATGAAAATCATAAGATAAAAATATATGTTAACAGCAGCAACTAACAATTACATAATTGGTTTATCTATTTCTTATAAGCTAAGCTCGAGTRGAAGGTACAGAATCAAGGGGAATTAGGGGAACAAYATTATTTTAAAGCTAAAATAATAATAAAATATTAATTATATGTTATTATTAATCAAGAATAATAATCGACAGTACACTATTATCATACATCAATGTATAAAGAAAATGTCACTAGTGTTCATTAGATATGTTATACAGTAGACGCCGTTAATAAGACTCACTTTGGGACCAGCACAAAGTGAGTCTTATAACCGAATGAATCTTATAGGCTAAGTGGAAAAAAAATTAATTACGTATTTATAAATTTTATTTTACTACATATTTTGCTTTAATTTTAATATTTAACACATATTWMWTATTTATTATTGAGTAAATTTAATAAGTCTGAAAAAAAAATTAAATTATAATAGGCAAATATTACTTATAAAAATATTATAAAAATTATAAAGGATGTATGTATAATGTATTTATTATTTATTTTGAAAAATTATTTTTAATTATTAAACAAGATATATGCTTCGTGTTAAAACTTAGGATTTTTACCAATTATGTAGCTATAATAACACCATGAAAAAATATCGATTTTGTAAATTTATGAAAATGTTCTAAAAATACTATCTTTTGCTACAGGTTGACTCATATATCCAAAAGAAATTAGCTAAAAAACGAGGACACAACCAAGAAAAAATCAGAAAAGAAACATTTCTTAGAACAAATTTATACAAACCAAAGTTTAAATGTAGAAGTAGGAATTATTAAGTA